AGGGGGTCACCCCTTTAAAACTCCGAAGGTTGGGAGTTTATGCCAATGCCAGAATGCCTTAGAAAAAAACCCTCATCAGTAACACTGAATGAAGGGTGGATTCCATCAAGAGCATCTGGAGTAATGTGAAAAAAGCTCTAGATAAAACAACAGAGTCAGAAGAAACAGGTAGACAAGAAACCAGTTCCCCAAGGAATATTTCATGTGGGAGATGATGATGATGATAATGATAATAATAATAATAATAATAATAATAATAATAATAATAATAATAATAATAATAATAATAATAATAATAATAATGAAAGTTGGAAGGGACCTTGGAGGTCATCTAGTCCAACCCCCTGCTCAGGCAGGAAACCCTATACTATTTCGGACAAATGGCTGTCTAGTCTCTTCTTAAAAACTTCCAGTGTTGGAGCATTCACCGCTTCTAGAGACAGGTTGTTCCACTGGTTAATTGTTCTAACTGTCAGGAAGTTTCTCCTTAGTTCTAGGTTGCTTCTCTCCTTGATTAGTTTCCACCCGTTGCTTCTTGTCCTGCCTTCAGGTGCTTTGGAAAATAGCTTGACTCCCTCTTCTTTATGGTAGCCCCTGAGATATTGGAACACTGCTATCATGTCCGGATCTGTCTACTAAATACTTGAAATTGAGAATCCCGTACAAGAAACTAGGTCCCAAATACATAAGATGTTTTCCAATTGTAAAACTCAGTTATGGTAGAACTGAAACTGCCTAGAATATTGGGTAAAGTGCACTCAAGTTTTCATTGCAGCTTGCTGAAACCAGACAGAGAATCTAGGTTGAGGCCGATCGAAAAGGAAGTGCCCAGTCCAATAATAGTGGAGGGAGAGATGCATTATGAGATTAAGCAGACTGTGGGAATCAAGGTTAATGGCTAGGTGTCTGGTTATACCCAGAGATGCTCTCTCATAACAATATTTCCCAATTTGATGGACAATGTGACTTGACCCAGAGGGAAGAGGAAAAAGGTAATGTTTTTACTATAGGGGTTTGGGAGGGGTCCAGCCATAGCTGGTTTTACTTTCATATGTACCGATATGGTGTACTCAATAAAGTTTTGCATTAAGAGATCGGAAAATCTCGAAGGTGTTTCATTGTTTGGGTTCATCAGTCAGATCCTTGACAGTAGATTTCAAAAATAATTATGTGACAAATACCACATTAAGATTATGGAATAAGCATCAATCCAGATTGCATCCACAGATACCTTTATGTTCTCAGCACTGAAAGTATTTTATAATAAAGAGCAGGCAAAAAAATGGTTAACTTATTAGGACTTATTATTGTAGGAAATCAAAAGTTCAAGTTGAAATCAAGAGAATTGGAGAGTGATTTAGTTTTCAATAGTTTTCAGTTGCATAATTGAGATAAAGATTTAATGCAGATAAATAGTTATGGGGAATTGAACAATACAAGATGGAATTTAAAAACTGTATACAAATGACGAACATCTGACTGCAAAAAGTATAACTTTTTGTTGAAATTTGAAACTGAAGAGGAACAAGTCAAAGATTACATGGTAAATTAGGCAAGAATTTTAGCTATAATATACAGATGGATTAATGGGAGAGCACGTGCATAAAGAAACTGAAATTAATATTATGTTAAAGGAGAACTTTTGCAAAATGATATATTGCTGATATATGACACCAGAGAAATTATTTAATATGCATAAAGGTACTTCTAGTCAATGTTGGAAGTGTAAAAAATATAAAGGGACATTTTAACATACATGGTAGATTTATGAAAATAAAAACAGATGATGATAAAAGAATTTTGAAGATTAATACTGAACTGAAACCAGAACTTTTTTTACTGGGACCTATAGTTAATTATAAAAAGCTTAAATGAATAGGGAAAAAATTATTTGATCCCCTGCTGATTTTGTACGTTTGCCCACTGACAAAGAAATGATCAGTGTGTAATTGTAATGATAGATTTATATTAACAATGAGAGACAGAATAACAACAAAAAATGCCAAAAACACATTTCAAAAAAGTTATGCATTGATTTGCATTTTAATGAGTGAAATAAATATTCGATCTCCTATCAATCAGCTAGATTTCTGGCTCCTATGTATTTTTTATACAGGTAATGAGCTGAGATTAGAAACATTCTCTTAAAGGGAGTGCTCCTAATCTCAGCTTGTTACCTGTATAAAAGACACCTGCCCACAGAAGCAATCAATCAGATTCCAAACTCTCCACCATGGCCAAGACCAAAGAGCTGTCCAAGGATGTCAGGAACAAAATTGTAGATCTACACAAGGCTGGAATGTACTACAAGACTATTGCCAAGTAGCGTGGTGAGAAGGTGACAGCAGTTGGTGTGATTATTCGCAAATGGAAGAAACACAAAATAACTGTCAATCTTCCTCGGTCTGGGCTCCATGCAAGATCTCACCTCATGGAGTTTCAGTGATCATGAGAATGGTGAGGAATCAGCCCAGAACTACATGGGAGGAGCCTGTCAATGATCTCAAGGCAGCTGGGACTGTAGTCATCAAGAAAACAATTAATAACACATTACGCCATGCAGGACTGAAGTCCTGCAGTACCTGCAAGTTCCTCCTGCTCAAGAAAGCACAGGTACAGGCCCGTCTGATGTTTGCCAATGAACATCTGAATGATTCAGAGGTGAACTGGGTGAAAGTGTTGTGGTTAGATGAGACCAAAATCGAGGTCTTTGGCATCAACTCAACTCAACGTGTTTGGAAGAGGAAGAATGCTGCCTATGACCCCAAGAACACCAACCCCACCATCAAACATGGAGGTGGAAATATTATGCTTTGGGGGTGTTTTTCTGTTAAGGGGACAGGACAACTTCACCGCATCAAAGAGACAATGGAAGGCTACATGTACCGTCAAATCTTGGGTGAGAACCTCCTTCCCTCAGCCAGAGCATTGAAAATGGATCATGGATGGGTATTCCAGCATGGCAATGACCCAAAACTCACAGCCAAGGGAACAAAGGAGTGGCTGAAAAAAAAAGCACTTTAAGGTCCTGGAATGGCCTAGCCCTAGCCAGTTTTCAGACCTAAATCTGTGGAGGGAGCTGCAGGTTCGAGTTGCCAAATGTCAGCTTCAAAACCTTAATGACTTGGATAATTTTTCCCCTCACTATATATTAACTGCAGTAAGATTATTATATGTCAAAGAGAGAGAAATTTTGAAGTATTCACAATGGAAGAATGGATTGTGAAGATGGTAGAATTAGCAGAGTTAACACTGTCCTGTTTGGTCAGGACAAGACAATATAAGTACTGTTATAAAAAACTACAGCCTTTTATAGACTTTTTACTGAAAATGGAAAAAAAGTGAAATAGTGATTTCTAGATTTGATGACTGAAAAAAGAGACTGAATAAGGACCTGAAGGAATCATTGTAATATTAAGGAAGAAGGTGTGATAATGAATTAATTTGTAATTTTTGTAAAAAAAAGAGTGGACATCTTCTATTTTTTCTTCCTTTCTTTAACTGTATTTTTTTTCTTGCAATTTTCCTTTTTCCTTTTCTTTCTTTTCTTTGTATATTTCTGTATTCATCTTTAATTTAAGTAATTTTTTTTAATAAAAATTAATTTTAAAAGAAAGAGAGAGAAGAAGAGGGAGAGAGTCGATAAATTTAAAATACTGTATTTAAAATACTGACTTTTAAAGCTCTGCATCATGATTGCCCAACCTTTTGGTTTGCCTGTGCCAACTGGCTGAAGATGAATTGACTTGGGCCATATATAAAATATATAATATAGTTAATGTATATAAATAACAAGTGTTCTTTATTTTTTATATTTTTTATTATCTTGTGGGGTAACATTACTAGTTGTCCAGAACCATATGTGGCCCATGGTCCATGGGTTAGACATATGTGCTTTATATAGTCTAGTACCAGGATCTTCAAGATTTAATCATTTTGACCAGAACACTTTTTCTTGATACCTCCTCTGGCAAAGTGGTCATTGTCTGATTACAAAAGTTATAGTTGATGTTAATTCTTATCAATCACACAAACAGATCTTCAGGATGATCTATCCCCAGTCTGGCCCTTCAAGTCTTCAAATGTTGCACCCATTGATATTGTAATTGATTTTACCAGTTTTGCTACTGGACAACCTCTTCTCTTTTCTCCCAAATGACCCTGGTCATTTGTGCCCTAAGTGAAAACTCTGGATTGAATTGTTATATGATCACTTTGCTTTTTTTCCCCCCCTTGACTATTCATGGTATTCTCAGAAGTTTTCTCTAAAATACAAAACAACATTTGTTTTATCCTACTCTGATTTTTCAAAATCCAATGTTTGCTTCCATAGAGGTCACAACAAAACCCATTGCTTGCATGACTTTGATGTTGGTAAGCATAAACACAATACTGTATCTGAATATCTTTTCAAGGCCCTAATTGTTACCCTATAAGTGCTAGTCTTTAATGTACTTCTTAATTGTTGTTTCATTTACTATTGATAGTCAATCTTAAACGACAGGTAAAGTCCACCACTTCAATTATCTTCATTGTCAATTATAAAGCTTGCTGTGGGATCTGCTGTCATTAGTTTGTTCTTCTTTATATTTAATCTTATTCCCATTTTTTTCCTTTTCTTGACTTTCTAGATTACTAGAACTTTTTAACTAATTAATCAATTAATACATTCAGAAAATGCCCATCTCCTTCACATAGGGACTCTGGGCTGTTACAAATAAAATGCTGAAAACATAAAAGCAGAATATAAAATTTAAAACAGAGGCAGATCATTTGCATTGTTAAAGTAATGTTATTAGTAGCATAGTTTAGGTTATCAATATTTCTTCATCCAGTTTTAAAACTATGCTCATCTTGTTTCAATCCAGTCTCCTTCAATAATGGCAATTCTTTGACTTCTTTCAAACTTAAATAAGGAGTTATTAGTTAATAAACATATTTGAATAAACATCTAACTTGAAGGCTACCTAGCCGTTCTGTAAGACTAAGTAACAGTTTACCTCAGTATATCCCATGCTAGCAGCAGCAATGAGTGCTTGTTGGATGGCCTGGCTTTTTTTGAACACTCCTTGTAGCTGTCCAGCCATTGTCCAGTCACACTGAATCAAAAATTTGACAACCTCCAGGTGACCTCTAAGAGCCGCATGTACCAATGCACACTGACCATTCTTGTCCAAGTGATCCACCTTGACAACAAAAGGAAAACCACAATTAAATTTAAATTGTTTCAGTAACTCTCATTGCAATATTCATATAAAAATATTTCTACTATGTTTCTCTAGCTAAATATATGCAGAATTAGCCAGAATAAGTTCCTAAAAATTGGTGTCCTTTGAAAATAGATGTTCTATAATACAAGCAGTCCTTGACCTAGTCATTCATTTAGCAATCCTTCAAAGTTACAACGGCAAATAGGGTTATGCCCTGTTGCTGGAATTTTGGTTGTCCCATCATTACCATGGGCATGTGATTGTGATCTGTGTGCTTGACAACAAGTTCGCATTTATAACTGTATCTCATCCTCACTCCCACCGTCCCCAATTTGCGCCAAATTTTTGCACCCTCCCTGATCCATGTTTCGTTCACCCACACAAATCTTTGTACACCCTTCCTGACTCACACCTCTTATGTATCCCCTTGTGCACCCTCCCTTTCCCTCTCCTCCCCCAAGATAATCCCACCCACCCCCATCAGGCAGCAGCTACTTATTTGCCTCTCAGCTTAGAACTTGCAGCTTGTTGCTAGCTTCCCCATGAATTTTGGTTGTTGCTGTAAGGACCTGCCTCAGTTAATCCTCCCAAGAAAGCAGAACTCTTGAAACATGCATTGTCTCAACGGGAACTTTTATTGGACGTTATTGATGGCAGAAGAGTAAGGCACTAAAACCCTTTCAAACCCAATCCCAAATGTCCAACTGGCCAATCTGAATTGAACCAATCCATAGGTATTAAGTTGTTGTGAGAAACCAGCGACAAGATGCTGTTCTCGAGGCTGTCAGGTTTCTCCATGGTTACTTCCCATCTGACTGGAGATAAGGCAGATGGCCAGAGGCACATTCCTTTCACATCCCAAGTAAGATACCCCAAAGAGGATAGAACAAAACAGAGGAAATACATTGCAGTAGACACATAGGTCACTCCCCCCCCTTTCTAAGCACAAGCCTCCCCCCCTTATAGATGGAAAGCGGTTGCCATAAACCAATTATAAAAGAATTGTCCTTTTTGCTGCACTCCTGGGCTGGATTGGCTGGGGTTGGACTTTGCACTATGGCTGGAGCTGCTTTGGGAATTCCCCCCCCCCCAGTGAAAACCCAGCTCCAGTCTGGGCCAAGATATGGCACAAACAGTTTTTTGATATGCTGTGTCTTTAGGGCTCCTCTTTTCCTAGTACAAAGCCTACCCAAACCTGGCCCAGTAACCTGGCCAGACACTCATTAGCAGTGAGAACAAGAAACTAATGAAGGTGCAGGTCAGCAGAGGTCTTGCAGGATGGCAAAGGTGACTGGCTGGGACTGGGACTGACTGCACCTTTCCAGAGCATGGCAAGCAGCCACAAAAGTCATGCAATCAGGGGTTGCTTGCTGCCTTGTAGGGCAGGGTGCTGGGTGACTAAAAGGACAGAGAGGAAGTAGGTGAGTAGGAAGAGTTGGAGACAGTCCCTTTATCTCAGGGCTAGCAGGGACCAAGCCCAGAATGGCTTGGTTTGGGATTGGTACTCATTTAAGGACCTGTGATTCTTGGTCAATGGCAGCAATTGGGACTGCTAAGATTATTGTTGCTAAGTGATGTGGTCACATGATAGCTTGCTTTGTATCAGAAATACTGATCCCAATTATGGTTGTAAATTGAGGACTATCTGTATTTGACATGTACTGATGCACTAATTAGTACATTTTTTACATATTTTATAGGCACGTCAGAATTAAAATGCCCACCCTTTCATTTTGGTAGTGAAATGATTATTTTGTTGTTGTTGTTAATTGCGAAGTCGTGTCTAACCCATCGCGACCTCATGGACAACGTTCCTCCAGGTCTTCCTGTCCTCCACCATCTTCTGGAGTCCATTTAAGTTCACACCTACTGCTTCAGTGACTCCATCCAGCCATCTCATTCTCTGTCGTCCCCTTCTTCTATTGCCCTCAATCTTTCCCAGCATTAGGCCCTTCTCCAGTGAGTCCTTCCTTCTCATTAGGTGGCCAAAGTATTTGAGTTTCAACTTCAGGATCTGGCCTTCTAAAGAGCAGTCGGGGTTGATCTCTTCTAGGACTGACCGGTTTGAACGCCTTGCAGTCCAAGGGACTCGCAGGAGTCTTCTCCAGCACCATAGTTCAAAGGCCTCAATTCTTTGGCGCTCAGCCTTTCTTATGGTCCAACTTTCACAGCCATACATTGCAACTGGGAAAACCATGGCCTGGACTATACGCACTTTTGTTGGCAGGGTGATGTCTCTGCTTTTTAGTATGCTGTCTAGATTTGCCATAGCTTTCCTCCCCAGGAGCAAGCGTCTTTTAATTTCTTGGCTGCAGTCCCCATCTGAGGTGATCTTGGAGCCCAGAAAAATAAAATCTGTCACTACCTCCATTTCTTCCCCATCTATTTGCCAGGAATTGAGAGGGCCGGATGCCATGATTTTGGTTTTCTTAATGTTGAGTTTCAAGCCAACTTTTGCACTCTCCTTCTTCACCCGCATCAAGAGGCTCTTTAGTTCCTCTTCACTTTCTGCCATTAGAGTGGTATCATCTGCATATCTTAGGTTGTTGATATTTCTCCCGGCAATCTTAATTCCAACTTTTGATTCATCTAGCCCTGCCTTTCTCATGATGTGCTCTGCATATAAGTTAAATAGGCAGGGCGACAGTATACAGCCTTGCCGGACTCCTTTTCCAATTTTGAACCAATCAGTGGTTCCGTGTCCAGTTCTCACTGTTGCTTCTTGACCCGCATATAGGTTTCTCAAGAGACAAATGAGATGGTCTGGTACTCCCATCTCTTTAAGAACTTGCCACAATTTGTTGTGATCCACACAATCAAAGGCTTTAGCATAGTCAATGAAGCAGAAGTAGATGTTTTTCTGGAACTCCCTAGCTTTCTCCATGATCCAGCGTATGTTGGCAATTTGATCTCTAGTTCCTCTGCCTCTTCGAAATCCTGCCTGTACTTCTGGTAGTTCTCGATCCACATACTGCTGGGAGTCTAGCTTGTAGGATTTTAAGCATAACTTTACTAGCATGTGAAATGAGTGCAATGGTGCGATAGTTTGAACATTCTTTGGTATTGCCTTTCTTTGGAATTGGAATGTAAACTGACCTTTTCCAATCCTGTGGCCACTGTTGAGTTTTCCAAAATTGCTGGCAAATTGAGTGTAGCACTTTTACTGCATCTTCTTTTAAGATTTTGAATAGCTCAGCTGGAATACTGTCACCTCCACTAGCTTTGTTGTTGCTCAGATTTTCTAAGGCCCATTTCACTTCACATTCTAGGATGTCTGGTTCGAGGTCAGTGACCATCTCATTGTGATTATCTGGGACGTTAAGCTGATTCTTGTATAGTTCTTCTGTGTAGTTTTGCCATCTCTTCTTAATCTCTTCTGCCTCTGTTAGGTCCCTGCCATTTTGGTCCTTTATCATGCCCATCTTTGCATGAAAAGTTCCCTTCATATCTCCAATTTTCTTGAAGAGATCTCTGGTCCTCCCTATTCTGTTGTTTTCTTTTATTTCTTTGCATTGTTCATTTAAGAAGGCATTCTTATCTCTTCTAGCTACTCTTTGGAATTCTGCATTCAATTGGGTGTATCTTTCTCTTTCTCCTTTGCCTTTCGCTTCCCTTCTTTCCTCAGCTATTTGCAAAGCTTCCTCAGACAGCCATTTTGCTTTCTTGCATTTCTTTTTCTTTGGGATAGTTTTAGTTGCTACCTCTTGTACAATGTTGCAAACTTCCATCCATAGTTCTTCAGGCACTCTGTCTATCAGATCTAATTCCTTAAATCTATTTGTCACCTCTACTGTATATTCATCAGGAATATGATTTAGTTCATACCTGAATGGCCTAGTGCTTTTCCCTACTTTTTTCAATTTAAGCCTAAATTTTGCAACGAGAAGCTCATGATCTGAGCCACAGTCAGCTCCTGGTCTTGTTTTTACTGACTGTATAGAGCTTCTCCATCTGTGGCTGCAGAGCACATAGTCAATCTGATTTCTATGTTGACCGTCTGGTGATGTCCATGTGTAGAGCCGTCTCTTGGGTTGTTGAAAAAGAGTGTTTGTTATGACCATCGTATTCTCTTGACAAAATTCTATCAGCCTGTGCCCTGCTTCATTTTGTACACCAAGGCCAAACTTGCCTGTTATTCCAGTTATCTTTTGGCTTCCTACCTTAGCATTCCAATCCCCCATGATGATAAGGACATCATTTTTTGGTGTTAATTCTATAAGGTGCTGTAGGGCTTCATAGAACAGGTCAATTTCATCCTGTTCAGCACCAGTGGTTGGGGCATAGATTTGGACTATTGTGATATTGAATGGTTTGCCTTGGATTCGAATTGAGATCATTCTGTCAATCCCAGTATTGCTTTTCCTATTCTTTTATTGACTATGAAGGCTACTCCATTTCTTCTGAGGGATTCTTGCCCACAGTAGTATATCTGATGGTTCTCTGAGTTAAATTCACCCATTCCTGTCCATTTTAGTTTGCTGATTCCTAAGATGTCGATGTTCAGTCTTGTCATCTCTTTTTTGACTACGTCTAGCTTGCCTTGATTCATGGAGCTTACATTCCAGGTTCCTATGGAGAAAAAATCTTTACAGCATCGGACTTTCCTTTCACCACCAGATATATCCACAGCTGAGCGTCCTTTCGGCTTTGGCCCAGTCGCTTCATTCTTTCTGCCGCTACTATTACTAGCCCTCTGCTCTTCCCCAGTAGCATATTGGACACCTTCCGACCTGAGGGGCTCATCTTCCAGCGTCATATCTTTTTGCCTTTTAGTACTGTCCATGGGGTTTTCATGGCAAAGATACTGGAGCGGTTTGCCATTTCCTTCTCCAGTGGATCACATTTTGTCAGAACTCTCTGCTATGACCTGTCCGTCTTGGGTGGCCCTGCACGGCATAGCTTATAGCTTCATTGAGTTACGCAAGCCCCTTCGCCACGACAAGGCAGTAATCCATAAAGGGGGAAATGATTATTACTCCCACATAATTAATCTTTATTTTGTTGCCTGATATTTTGGCTTGATTGATATGAAAGTCCTCGATCTCATAGAAATCTGCATTTTCTTTAGTTAAAAGGTAGTAAATTTAGTTGGATTTCTCATATTTGTCTTGCAATGAAGCAGATACCCTCTACAGGTATAGCTTCCGATATCTCTTCTGCTATGTAGTCTGCAGTTGTGACATATTCTGTTGTACCTGCTGGGCTAAAGGATTCAAATTCTGGATTAGTTGGTTGAACTGAGTAGCTGTCTTATGTGTATACTGAACAATGTCTTAACTAGGCAGTAGCCATTGTTCTGAATCCCAAATGGGTATGTGATGGTTCTCCCCTCACTGATACAGAAATGTAGAAAGGGAAATCAAGCTATTTATCAGACTCAACCTCAATAAAAGTAACCTAGGCACTTGACGTAATATGATTAATTAAAATTTTTGATTTGTCAAAAGATGGAAGACACTTACAATAAATCAACTGAATGCCTTTTGCCAAAATGAGGGTATAGTATTTTCTTATACTAAATTCAAACCTGGCAGTCCTCTTTCCCATGCTTTCTTCACCTTAGCAGACACCTTGCTTGCATTGCTCATGCATAATGTGAGGTGGTAGTACATTATTAATATATTCAACATTCCCATCCTGGGAAATACTAGTTCCCAATATATTGTATTTCTTATATATGCAATATGCCAGGGTATCATACAGATTGCATTTCAGTTTGGATCCTCAACTTTTTCAAAGTAGCTGTAAAAAGTTTATAATACCACTTTATACAAATAATGCTGAAATTTTCTCATAAACTCAATCAGCCACCTGCTTTGTAATAGCATGTCGCATCCTGCTATTCTTCCTTAACTGAAATGTGTATTTTTCTTATGACTGCATGATTACCAAAGGAGCTCAGGAAAAAAATAAAGCTGTTTTAAATCATTGTTTAGAAGTGTAGCATGTATGCACATGCCTGCTCCATAGCACCTTTCCAGCTCCAGATATGAAATGCATATCAATAATATCTAAGTATTTTATTTTTCACTAGTTGTTTAATCAGAAATCTGATTTGTTTAATCTGATTCAATTAAATTAAAGAGCAACTCCACCCTATTGCACCACAATCCCAAGTAGGTATTCTAGATACTGTAGCTCAACTATGCCAACTTAGCAGCCACCCATTCCAACCCCTTCATCACCTTGGCTCTCTTCTTGCATAAAAGTGCCACAATGCTTAAATAGCCAGCAGCAGCAGCATAACCAAGAGATGTTAAACCACTTTCAGAAGAGGCATCAACATTTGCTCCAAACTCCAACAGCAAGGCTACCATCTCAGAGTAACCAAGGTGAGACTGGACACATAAAATTGGGGCGTTGTTTAGCACTTCAGTCCTGTAATTGATGTTGGCACCTCCTAAGATCAGCAGACGACTGACCTATGCAACAAGAAACAGAATAGTAATATATTAGAGCAATATTCTCCAGATTTCTAATACCTGAGAAAATTTGATTTTCTGAACTGAATTAATTCAGTGTTTTTGGTACTAAATCTCCCCAGACTGATTTTGAATTGGATGAGCAATTCTTGAAATTCTGGACTGAGAAGAATAGAGATGAATGGAATGAATGATTATTTACTAATAGCTGCAATTCTTTGATTGGTTATTTGTAAATTTAATTTAATTCATTTGATTTAGGTGCCATCCAACTCCAAAAGATGTTGAGGACTCATAGTACAACGAAAGAATAAAATACAATATAATTCAAAAGCCAACTAGTGGAAAGATTTTAAAAAGCAGATGAAAAAACAAAATAGTGAATCTCGATATGAGTAAAACTCAGAAGGGGTTTCAAACACCTTAGTCCAAGATTCCAAATTATAGCATGAGCTGTGCCTGGTTACATGTTATACATGGATAATGGGAGTCTAACAAAAAATTATGTGTACTGTAAAAAGTCCTGAATAGGTTCTACCTAATTCTGCCCAATTTTAGCCTAAGATTATATTCTTCTCAGCTTCTGTGGAAAATTTACAAAAAGCCAAATAAAAGTTCAAAAATTATTCTCTCATTCTTCTGCTCTAGTTTAAGCTTTGCATAGGAAATAAATTAGGGCAGGAGAAGCAATAACATCTTCTACTAGCTGGTAGATCAGGTGTTCCAAAGTCTGAAATGGTTTTTCAATTAACAAACTAAGAGATTGTGCCATTGGAAAAACAAATTGCTTACTAGAAGAGTGAAGATGAAAGAGGAATTTGGAACTTGATCTTCACTAACTTCTTAAGCCATGAGATTGAAGGAGAAGTTGATTAAATTAAGGAATCACCAAAACTATAATTGTTTCCTTCTGACTGGTCAGAGTGAGCTATATTAAATAGTGAACAATGTATTGGTTTGGATAAGTGGTGTTAACAGGCCTCACTTCTGGGCATTGAGGAAATGACATACTTTGAGTGAGAAGCTATGTTGGCTAAAGCCTGATTGTAGGACTTCTAAAGGCAAATTGAAGAACAAAAATGTAATGTGGACATGAAAACAATTCCATATAGCCCATTGATTGTGGATTCTTTCAGGAGGAAGACTGAAATGCTTAGACAGAAGAAGACCCAAAAAAAGAATGGAGATTGTCCTAAGGATTTTATCATTAGACTAAGATGCCTTCAGACATCTTTTTTAAAAATTATTAAATAATTTAATAATCACAAAGCTGGAAATTATCACATTTATTTTAGATCCTATTGAAGCAGGTGACTGTTATCTTTGCCTCTTATGTTTGATATATTTGCTTGAAGGTTGTGAAACTTCCTTATCTTTATCTTTTCATTAAACATGTATTGTTTTTGCATAGTCCTATCTAAGATGAAAAGGATGGGGTGGCTAAGCAGTTAAGATGCTGGGCTTGCTAACTGGAAGATTGGCAATTTGAGGCATAAGTACCACAAGACAGAGTGAACTCCCATTAATTTCCCAGTTCCTGCCAACCAAGCAGTTCAAAAGCATGTAAATGCAAGTAGATAAATAGGTACCACTTCTGTGGGAAGATAATAGCATTCTGTGCATCTTTAGTGTAATAGTCAACCTGGCCACATGGCCATGGAAGTGTCTTGGGACAACACTAACTATTTGGCTGTGAATTGGAGATGAGCATCATCCCCTAGAGTAGGACACAACTGGTGCTCTCTGAGCTTGGTTGCTTTCTTACAGACCTTTTATTACCCAAATTAGCTAACATAATCAGTGCTAGAAGAATTGATCCTTCTTCTACAACTGTGCCCATTCCTTTTCTCTTCCTTTTCTTTCCCTGACCTCAGTTTCCTCATCTCTAAAACAGTCTTCATTAAAGTTTCTCTTATTCTTTGTTATCTAAATTAAAGCATCCACAAATCTGTTTTGCCATGCTTCTCTCCATTCCAGAGTTGGCACATCATGCCATCCTAAATGTTGTTGCTGCCTGCCTGGCATAGCCTTAATAGGATAGTGCTGGACTGCAGCTGTATAGCTTTAATTTCTAACATTTTAAGAGATATGATTGATGATTTCCTCAGCTGTAATTGTAGCTTTATCCAATATTAACCACAACATAAAAAATCTGTTCCAATACTGCAATTTATTCTTTTAATTTTGTCATCAATTGACTTTTTAATTTATTTTTTAAAGTTGACAATTTAACCTTTTGGTAGCAGCAAAAAGAATTAGTTTTTTGTCTCTTTTGGCTGCAACTTGGGTCAGTCATCTCACAAACTAGTTACTGCAGTGCACTTTGAATAGGCTACGCTTGAAGAATATGCACCAGTTACAACTGCTCCAGAATGCAATGATGTAGACAGTGATGGCATCCATTGCTTCATGATTTCCATTGGTTGCCAATAGGCTTCCAGCCTAAAATTTTAATAAAATTAATATATAAGGTTAAACAATTCCCATTAGATTGATTTAGTCAGATTTTGAATAGAACTCTGTGCAGATGTATAACTCATATATAAATTGAACTGCATAAGTTTTAAGAATTGGTAGGTCTTTATAAAGAAAGAGATAGAAAATGTTTTTTCAATATTACTGCTGGCAACAGAAAAGAAAGGGACAGATAGTAGTCTGGTCTTCTTGAATGTATATATTCATGGGGTTGTCCTTCCCACTAAAAACAGCCATAGATTCATAAAAAACAACAACAATAAAAAGAGTACCAGTGTAAAATCTGTTATGTATAATAAATAGAGATTGGGAAAAAGAATTAAAATTTAAAGAATCTCTGAAGATTTTTAGAATTTTCATATATTATTTCTTAAAAATTAAAGTAACAGATTGAGAACAAATTTAGGATCAGGATGGAGAGAATATACTGACTTGACATTCTTGTTTGTTTTATTTGTTATCTGTACAGCTTCTAAAATTCTTGATGAATTGTTAAGAAATATTTTTTAAATTTCCTAATACTCTGGAGCGCTATTTGCTGGTAGAAAGGCAAGATATAAAACTAATACATGAATTAATAAAATTCTCTATTGCTTCAGTGTGCTCTACAGAGTTGTTCTTGAAGACCACTTGGTAGCTTCAACTAGGCCAGAGTACAGTAGCATGGACAGTGATGGGTATGCCTCAGTGTATTCACATGACACTCTTGCTTTGCAAATTGCATTAGCAGCCAGTTTGCTGCTTGGTGCAATCCAAGATGCTGGGTATAATGTATAAAGCCCTACGTGGCATAAGTCCAATTAGTTGGGGGACTATTTATATACTGTGGTGTCTCCCCAGCTGGTTCGAAGCAACAGGGTTGACATGCTCGGGTTCCTTAAATCAGTATTATCTACTGAAACACAAAAAGCATGACATCTTGCCTTCTAGAATGAGAATCACCCTGAAATGCAGGTAGCTTCCACATTGACAGTGTTCTGAAGTGTCTGTTTTTCCCCCAGACACTAAGCTAGGTGAGCTGCAGTGTCTTACTGGATGCATAATATGTGCTCCTGTGTGCTAGCTGGATTTGTCATTTCATTTAATTCTTTCTATATGGATTATATATTTTGTGATTTATTGCTATGTTTAAGAGCTGTGGAGAGTTGGTCTAAGTTGGGCAATGTCTAAATCAAATGAATGAATGAACAGATAAAATACAACAACTTACATTAATTATATCAAACAAAGATGTAACAAAGATGTCAGTAAAATGTCCTTAGAAGTAAGGGAACTGGATCTGATAATTTGGAGGAATACCTTCAGATCTATGGAAATCATAATTTATCATATTTGATAGACATAAAAGGAAGACAAAATGGAAAGGTAATTCACTGGAATATAAAAATAAATTTTGCTAAATTTCTGCTACAAGTAATTCTTCACTTCGTAAAGTCTCTGAACCATTTGCTTAGCGACTATTTAAAGTTATGATGGTGCTGAAAAAATTTGAACCTCGGACTTATGATTGAGCCTCATACTTACAACTGGAGCCCCATGGAACCATGAACAAAATTTGAGTGCTTGGCAACCAGCATGTATTTATGATGATCACAGTGTCCCAGGGTCAAGTAACTGCCAGCTGACTTTCAACAAACAAAGTCAATGGGGAAGCCAAATTTGCTTAATAACCATGTGATTCATTTAACAACCACAGCAAAAAAGATCATAAAATCAGGCACAACTCAATTTAACAGTTGCCCTACTCCCCCCACCTTAGCAATGGAATTTCTGGCCCCAATTGTAGTTGTAAGTTGAGGACTACCTGTTTTTGAAACAGGAAGTACTAAGTTTCTGAAATATTAAAAAAGTTGAACAAAAGTGAAGGAGGTTGCCTGATACAGGTGAAACAAGGATATTATCCAACTTATTCTGATGTATTGTCAAAAATCTAAGGACAACTAAACGTTTAGTTGTTTTCCAGATCAAGACAAAACCAGAACTGGGAGGGATTGTTCTTTCCAATAAGAACATCTATCAAAATATTGGCTTTCTTAATGGAATGAGTAAAATAGGATAAACAGGATAACCTGCTCCACTTTGGAATGAGCAGAAGATATAGAGGATAATATGCTCCACAAAAGGACCCTACACTTAAAAGCTTTGCCCACCTACCATTGTCTTGGTTTTAAAAAAATATTTTTTAATTTTTTTCCAGGAGAGAATATCTCTTGGCATTGATAGAGGTTTCACTTCAAACCCAATAACTAGTATTAGGGAAAGAGGATCAAGAGAAAGGACTCAGTCCATCTCTCAAAATAATAGAGTTGGAAGGAACCCTGAAGGTGTTCTAGTCCAATCCCCTGCTCAGGCAAGAAGCCCTATATGTTATAATGTTCAGGATTACCAGAGCTGCTATTTATATAAGGAAAATATTGATATTAATCACATTTATGAAATTAATGTCATTTTAGTTAGGTATCAACATAACATAATATTAAGCAAAGAGGCAATTCCATAAGGTGGATCATGGGTAACAAACTGGTTGATCGATGTTTAATTTCTCTAAGTCCAATCAGTTTATTCATAACTTCAGAATCTTAAGTTTCTATTTAAACTCAACGCTGCTATTTTGACAAAATCACAAGAGGATTTGTCTCTGCAATATGAAACTTAAAAGGCAATCTCTATTTCTAGTACCTTTATATTGGGTGTATACAAATTGCGTAGAGAGGCCAGTGCCATGGAAAGACCTTCTGAGCTATAAGAAATCCAAAGCCCTTGAAGAATTGAGGAAGAGACACCAACTTTTTTACTAAGCCCCTGAAAAAGATAAACATTATATAACTCTAACCATTTATTTTCATTTGTAGTTCAGCCTCATGAACAATTTAATCTCAAATCTATTAGCAGTAATTCAAACTTAAAAGTGAATAATTTCCTTAAGACAATGCAAAAATACTGTAATAGATGGAATGTTTTAAATTATATGCTCAAGAAAGAAAAGCCAAAGTATCAATGATCATATTTTTTACTGTCACTTTTCCTACTACCTCTCTAATCCTGAATCAGATATGAAAATAATCAGACTGGTGTGATTGTTTAGCATTGGATCGTCTCTCATTGAAATTAGGATTCCTACAGACACATTTTTATGACAATTTTAGTGCTCCATTTTTAAAAAGATTTTGAGCTTTACTAAAAGCCTATAAAATCATTTCTGATCTACAAATGTTATTTCAACAATGGAAAAAATATTTTAATGAGGATTTATCAATTATAACACAGTTTTAGAAGAGGATCTCCGATTAGTGATTTCCAGGTCAAACACAAATTATTTTCAAAATTCTTGTCAATCTTGCTCACAAGATTCACAAGAGAGAGGTGAGATAACAATAATCATTTATATTGTCCTTCAGTATGTCTATTTACTGTTCCCTTCTATATTTTGGATGAGAAAAAATGAATAATGAATGAAATTATGTCAATAAAAGGTTTAGAATTATTATTTGTTGTGTCTGATAACAACAGAAAAAACATGCAGAAACATTGTAAGTTTTCTCTTTCCATCTTATATTGTTTTGGCAGTGAGCTATCTGAGAATGGAAACTTGACTCTCCTTGTTAACTGATTAAACTACAATACTAATATATAACTCAGATGGTAAGCATTGTTTATGCTTTATTATAACAGCAATACACACCAGTATACAGAATCCAACAAAAAGATGCCATCATTTTTTTCTGCCTACCTTGAAGATGTGTGCTTTGAGAATATGATGGCCCAACTCAATTGTCTGCTGCCTGTTGAGTTTTCCGTCTTGACGGGAAAACCAAAAGGCAAGTAAAGTATGACCGCTCCTAAAGAGAGGGAGGGTGGGAGGGAGAAAGAGAGAACAAACACAATGGGAAAAGGAATCCAAAGGTCTAACTACAACACATGTAAAGACACTTAACAGCTAGATCTTAGAAAAGTGTTGATTTCACTTATATAATTTATTTACATGATAAACTTCTGCTAAATAAATTGAATTCCACTTAACTGAATATCAAATGCTATTCAACTTTTAATTTCATGTAAATAATCTCCTTGCTTTAGACTGAATAAAATCACTGACATATAAATAGAGTTAAATTGATAACATGAAAAATATATTTATCAAGTATGAGCTTGCAGATGTGATTTTTACCATGATCATGCAGAAAAAATATGTGATGAAATAATCTATCTTCACTATTATCTTGGTTTTAATCAGTAATTTTCTTTGAATTCTTGTGGAGTAATAATGATTTGTGCATATGTACTTCATATTTAAATACTATCAAAAGGCTAATAAAGATTTTAGAACTTGCTATTAATGAATGGATTTATACTTCTTTTGATTGATTATACTTCAGTGGTATTTCTCTCTGTATTAGTCTGTGTCTCCTGGCAATTGCCTGAATAAGCCCTTGAAAGTTTTCTTCATAGCATTTTTGCAAATGGTTTGCCACTACTTTCTTCCTAGGACCAAGAATGACTTGCCAGCTGGCAACATGCCTGAGGCAGGTTTAGAACTCGCAGTCTCCTGGTTAATAGCTGATGCCTTAACTATTACACCAAACCTATTCTCTTTTTCTCAGATATATGTTGAAAAATTAATAATGAGAAGCGAGCAGATAGCTTCCAGGAAGCAAACTGCTTTCACTCCCATGAATTGGGTTGTACAGTAGGTTTGATCTCTGAGCTTGGCAATTTGGCTGCAAACGTTTCATCTCCATTGGGGGGGGGGGAACGTCTTCAGTGTGCTTTGAATTGTGTTTATATGCCAGAGCAGTGGACTGTAAATTGGTGTGGGCATTGTCTGGATGTTTCTGAGTCATGGTCTGCCAGAAACATCCGGACAAACACCTACGCCAATTTAAAGTGCAGTGCTCTGACAGATAAGCACAATTCACAGCACACTGAAGATGTCTCCCCCGAATGGAGACGAAACGTTTGCAGCAAAATTGCCAAGCTCGGAGATCAAACCAACAGCCCAATTACCAACCCAAGCTACTAATATTCAAACACATTTCACTCCCATGAGTATTTCATCAATCATTAATCAGAATAGAGCTGGAAGGGATCTTGGAGGTCTTCTAGTCCAGCCCCCTGCTCAAGCCGGAGTCCCTATATCATTTCAGAAAAGTGGCTGTCCAGTCTCTTCTTAAAAACCTCCAGTGATGAAGCACCCACAACGTCTGAAGGCAACTGTTCCACTGGTTAATTGTCCTGACTGTTAGGAAGTTTCTCCTTAATTCCAGTTTATTCCTTGATTAGTTTCCATCCGTTATTTCTTGTCTTGTTTCTGGTGCTTTGGAGAATAATTTGATCCCCCTCTTGTTTGTGACAACCCCACAAATACTGGAATACTACTATCATGTCCCCCCCCCAGTTCTTCTTTTCTCTAGACAGCCATATCCAAATCCTGCAAACACTCTTCATATGTTTTAGTCTCCAAGCCTTTAATCTTAGTTGCTCTTCTTTGCACTTTTTCCCAAGTCTCAACATATTTTTTGTAATGTGATGACCAAAACTGGATGCAGTATTCCAGATGCGGTCTTACTAAGGCTTTATAAAGCGGTACTACTGCTTCACATGATTTTGATACTATGCCTCTGTTTATACAACCAAGGGTTGTATTAGCTTTTTTTTTTTTGCTGCTGCTGCTGCACACTGCTGGTTCATGGTTAAGTGATTGTCCACTAGGACTCCAAGGTCCCTCTCACAGTTACTGTTTTTGAGTCAGGTTTTGCCTAATCTGTACTTGTATCTTTCGGTTTTCCTGCCCAGGTGCAAACCTTGCTTTTCTACACATTAAATATTATTTTGTTGGTTAGAGCCCATTGTTCAAGTCTGTCAAGATCTTTTTGGATCCTGAGCTTGTCTTCTGGAGTGTTGGCTATTCCTGCCACCTTGGTGTCATCTGCAAATTTGATGAAATCCACTTCTATTCCCTCATCTAAGTCACTTATGAAGATATTGAAGAGTACTGGGCCTTAGACACAACTTAAACCACTGGAATATTTATGTATATATGTGTGTTTCTATACTTATATCATATAAATATCACCATTCATCTCATAAAAACATTACTCTGGGCTTAATGTTAAAATTAAACTGTCTTTTATGAGTGACTGGAAAAATGGCAAAAATATGTTATAATTTTTAGATAATGAATGATATTTGTTGTTTAAAGATACCTATTTTTCAAATTGCTAAAGGAAACTTTAATGGCTGCACAAAATATAATCTGGAAACCATTTATAAATAATTTTCAAAATTAATTACTATTTTTTGGATAATTAATTCTTGATGGAGACATAAATCTTGTTATGAACTTTCAACTGGATATACTCCTCCAAAAATGTATTTATAATCAAATTTGAACAATTATGCAAAATTACCTGCAGGAATTTAACTCGAATGATAATTGGGGGTATGTCCTGGTTTAAAGAGATACTATATTTTTATATCCAAGGTCCAGGAACTATTTTTTAGATCAGATCCTTTTAAAAATGTATTTTTTACTTGTTTGTTCTGACACACAAATTAATCTTACTGTATTGATTTCATATAATTTTAATTATATTAAAAGTTCATCTTAATGAGTGTGAGTTAGTTAATGATGATTTTTTAAAAACCTTTTAACACCTTTTCAATGATTATTTTTCTGGAAGTGGACTTCTAGTGATACATTATGGCAATCTAATTGTGTTCGAGGTGTCATAGCTTGGGTATGGCTGATGACTAGTGGTGGATGCCTGAAATCTTCCTCCAGATGAAGGAGGAAGTGTGAAATAGACTCATTTAATCTCCAGATAGCCTGTCCTCATCAGTAAACTGCAAAGGCAGTGTTAGTGTATAAATTAAGAGAAAGAAAAGAAGATGATTTTGAAACGTGTAGCAGGAGTTCTGTATTAGCAGACAATAGAGTTATACAAAAACTTTTCATCAGTACAATTCTAACTTGTACAAAGGAGGTGACATGCCCTTGGAAATGATAGATGATTATTTAAAAAAATGAAATTTAGCAAGATCTACAGAAAACCAAATGCAGATTAAATGAAGTTTCTTCAGCTATACAAAAGATTAAATCAGGAAAAATATCAGGACCAGATGGATCATCAGGTTCTTATTACAAATACTTTAATGATAAACTTTTAGAATCCAAAATAAAATGAATTCTATCTTAACATGCTAAAGCAGAGGTCTTCAAACTTGGTCCTTTTATGACTTGTGGACGTCAACGTGTTCAGCGTGCCTGGCTGAGAAATTCTGGGAATTGAAGTCCACAAGTCATAAAAGGGCCAAGTTTGAAGACTCCTGTGCTAGAGTATAGGAAACAGATTTACATAGCATTAATACCTAAAGAGGGACAAGATTTAACTTTACATTAAACCACAGATCAATATCGTTACTGATCAATGGTTATATGTTATTTATAATAACTTTAGCAGACAGAATGAAAATAATTTTACAAGAGCTTATTTATGAACCTTTATATTAAAGGCAATTAAAAGATCATGTCAGAATGATATAGGACATTATAGAATATTTGGAACAGGTTAACAAAAAAAAACCTTTATGGATTACTGCCTTGTCGTGGCGAAGGGGCTTGTGTAACTCAATGAAGCTATGAGCTATGCCGTGCAGGGCCATTCAAGACGGACAGGTCATAGCAGAGAGTTCTGACAAAATGTGATCCACTGGAGAAGGAAATGGACAGTACTAAAAGGCAAAAAGATATGATGCTGGAAGATGAGCCCCTCAGGTCGGAAGGTGTTCAATATGCTACTGGGGAAGAGCAGAAGGCTAGTACAAATAGCACCAGAAAGAATGAAACGACTGGGCCAAAGCTGAAAGGACGCTTAGCTGTGAATATATCTGGTGGTGAAAGGAAAGTCCGATGCTGTAAAGATCTTTTCTCCATAGGAACCTGGAATGTAAGATCCATGAATCAAGGAAAGCTAGATATAGTCAAACAAGAGATGACAAGACTGAACATTGACATCTTAGGAATCAGCGAACTAAAATGGACAGGAATGGGTGAATTTAACTCAGAGAACCATCAGGTATACTACTGCGGGCAAAAATCCCTCAGAAGAAATGGAGTAGCCTTCATAGTCAATAAAAGAATAGGAAAAGCAATACTGGGATACAATCCCCAAAATGACAGAATGATCTCAGTTTGAATCTAAGGCAAACCATTCAATATCACAGTAGTCCAAATCTATGCCTCAACCACTGATGCTGAAGAGGATGAAATTGACCGGTTCTATGAAGCACTACAGCACCTTATAGAATTAACACCAAAAAATGATGTCCTTATCATCATGGGGGATTGGAACGCTAAAGTAGGAAGCTAAAAGAAAACCAGAATAACAGGCAAGTTTGGCCTTGGAGTACAAAATGAAGCAGGGCACAGGCTGATAGAATTTTGTCAAGAGAATACCATGGTCATAACAAACACTCTTTTCCAACAACCCAAGAGACGGCTCTACAGATGGACATCACCAGACAGTCAAAATAGAAATCAGATGGACTATGTGCTCTGCAGCCAAAGATGGAGAAGCTCTATACAGTCAGTAAAAACAAGACCAGGAGCTGACTGTGGCTCAGATCATGAGCTTCTCATTGCAAAATTTAGGCTTAAATTGAAGAAAGTAGGGAAAAACACTAGGCCACTCAGGTATGAACTAAATCACATTCCTGATGAATACACAGTAGAGGTGACAAATAGATTTAAGGAATTAGATCTGATAGACAAGAGTGCCTGAAGAACTATGGATGGAGGCTCGCAACATTGTACAAGAGATAGCAACTAAAACCATCCCAA